CATAGATTTTCTATGGGAAAGCGCATTTTTTGAGCATGCACGGCTTTTCGGCTTTCACGGCGTTGACGACGGCCCAAGAGGCCCCCAAGACCGCCCCAAGACGGCCCAAGAGGCTCCCAAGAGCCCCCCAGAACGGCCCAAGAGGGCCCCCAGACGGCCCAAGAGGCGCCCAAGACGGCCCAAGAGGGCCCCAAGACGGCCCCAAGAGGGGGACCACGAACGCGAAAGTCTAGCCTTTCGCCCCGAGATGCTCCCAGGAGGCCCCCACAGACCCCCAAGAAGCCCCAGGAGGCTCCCAGGAGGCCCCCAAGAGGCCCCCAGGAGGGCCCGAAAAGGGCCCCAATAGGACTCCCACGAAGGCCCAGAGACGCCAAGAGCGATCGGTAACGCAAAAAGCTCTTCACACCAAGGCTCTCCAGAGCGAACGGTGACGTATACACAAGCTGATAAGACCAAGGCTCCCAGCAGAGAGTGGTGAAGTAACAAGTTCCTGACACCAAGGCCCAGCCAAGGCTCAGGAACGGGCGGCAACGCAACCATCTCTGAACACAAAGGCTCCCAAGAACGAGGGGTGACATAACCAGCTCTCAACGCCCAGGCTCCCGGCACGAACGGTGGTGTGAGTAATTTCGGTATCTGTTGCTGCAGCGCTCTTTCCGTTTCTGTGCCGGGCCAGGTAACGGAAAGAGCGAGGTACGAGCGATGACGTTGTGTTGGGGCGAAGCCCTAGAGGGAGGGGTTCCAGGGGAGGGGCGAGGCCCGGGGACATTGGCGTTAATGGCCGTTTTGGGGTTTTCCTAGGGTTTTTGCATGTTTTTTCGGATTTCTCTTTTTTTCCGTCCCAGAGGAGCCCAGTACCGCCCAAGACAGCCCCAAGACGTCCCAAGAGGCCCCCTAAGACGCCCCAAGAGGCGCCCAAGGGGCGTTCCAAGACGGCCCCAAGAGGCCAAAATCATAGATTTTCCAAAGGGAAACGTACATTTTTAGCATATACGGCTTTTCGCCTTTCACGGCGTTGACGACGGCCCAAGAGGCCCCCAAGACCGCCCCAAGACGGCCCAAGAGGCTCCCAAGAGGCCCCCCAAACGGTCCAAGAGGGCCCCCAGACGGCCCAAGAGGCGCCCAAGACGGTCCAAGAGGGCCCCAAGACGGCCCGAGAGGGGGACCACGAACGCGAAAGTCTAGCCTTTCGCCCCGAGATGCTCCGGGGAGGCCCACACAGACCCCCAAGAAGCTCCAAGAGGCCCCCAGGACGCGTTCCACGAGGCCATGAGGAGGCCAACATCATAGATTTTCTGTGGGAAAACACATATTTTGAGCATGCACGGCTTTTCGGCTTTCACGGCGTTGACGACGGCCCAAGAGGCCCCCAAGACCGCCCCAAGACGGCCCAAGAGGCTCCCAAGAGGCCCCCCAAACGGCCCAAGAGGGCCCCCAGACGGCCCAAGAGGCGCCCAAGACGGCCCAAGAGGGCCCCAACACGGCCCCAAGAGGGGGACCACGAACGCGAAAGTCTAGCCTTTCGCCCCGAGACGCTCCCAGGAGGCCCCCACAGACCCCCAAGAAGCCCCAGGAGGCTCCCAGGAGGCCCCCAAGAGGCCCCCAGGAGGGCCCGAAAAGGGCCCCAATAGGACTCCCACGAAGGCCCAGAGACGCCAAGAGCGATCGGTAATGCAAAAAGCTCTTCACACCAAGGCTCTCCAGAGCGAACGGTGACGTATACACAAGCCCCCCAAGAAGCCCCAAGAGGCCCCCAAGAGGCGTCCCAGGAGGCCAGCAGGAGGCCAAAATCATAGATTTTCCAAAGGAAAACGTACATTTTTAGCATATACGGCCTTTCACGGCGTCGACGACGGCCCAGGAGGCCCCCAAGACCGCCCCAAGACGGCCCAAGAGGCTCCCCAGAGGCCCCCCAAATGGCCCCAGAGGCGCCCAAGACGGCCCAAGCGTGCCCCAAGACGGCCCCAAGAGGGGGACCACGAACCCGAAAGTCTAGCCTTTCGCCCAAAGACGCTCCTGGGAGGCCCCCACAGACCCCCAAGAAGCCCCAAGAGGCCCCCAAGAGGCCACCAGGAGGGCCCGAAAAGGGCCCCAATAGGACTTCCACGAAGGCCCAGAGACGCCAAGAGCGATCGGTAATGTAAAAAGCTCTTCACACCAAGGCTCTCCAGAGCGAACGGTGACGTATACACAAGCTGATAAGACCAAGGCTCCCGGCAGAGAGCGGTGACGTAACAAGTTCCTGACACCAAGGCCCAGCCAAGGCTCAGGAACGGGCGGCAACGCAACCATCTCTGAACACCAAGGCTCCCAAGAGCGAGGGGTGACATAACCAGCTCTCAACGCCCAGGCTCCCGGCACGAACGGTGGTGTGAGTCATTTCGGTTTCTGTTGCTGCAGCGCTCTTTCCGTTTCTGTGCCGGGCCAGGTAACGGAAAGAGCGAGGTACGAGCGATGACGTTGTGTTGGGGCGAAGCCCTAGAGGGAGGGGTTCCAGGGGAGGGGCGAGGCCCGGGGACATTGGCGTTAATGGCCGTTTTGGGGGTTTCCCCTCGGGTTTTTGCATGCTTTTCGGATTTCTCTTCTTTTCCGTCCCAGAGGAGCCCAGTACCGCCCAAGACAGCCCCAAGACGTCCCAAGAGGCCCCCTAAGACGCCCCAAGAGGCGCCCAAGGGGCGTTCCAAGATGGCCCCAAGAGGCCAAAATCATAGATTTTCCAAAGGAAAACGTACATTTTCAGCATGTACGGCTTTTCGCCTTTCACGGCGTCGACGACGGCCCAGGAGGCCCCCAAGACCGCCCCAAGACGGCCCAAGAGGCTCCCAAGAGGCCCCCAAAACGGCCCAAGAGGGCCCCTAGACGGCCCAAGAGGCGCCCAAGACGGCCCAAGAGGGCCCCAAGGCGGCCCCAAGAGGGGGACCACGAACGCGAAAGTCTAGCCTTTCGCCCCAAGACGCTCCAGGGAGGCCCCCACAGCCCCCCAATGAAGCCCCAAGAGGCCCTCAGGACGCGTCCCACGAGGCCATCAGGAGGCCCAAAACATCGATGTTGTGTGGGAAAACGTGCATGTTGAGCATACACGGCTTTTCGGCTTTCACGGCGTTGAAGACGGTCCAAGAGGCCCCCAAGACCGCCCCAAGACGGCCCAAGAGGCTCCCAAGAGGTCCCTAGAAAGGCCCAAGAGGGCGCCAAGGCGGCCCAAGAGGCGCCCAAGACGGCCCAAGAGGGCCCCAAGACGGCCCCAAGAGGGGGACCACGAACGCGAAAGTCTAGCCTTTCGCCCCGAGACGCTCCTAGGATGCCCCCAAAGACCCCCAAGACGCCCCAAGAGGCCCCCAGGAGGCCCCCAGGAGGCCTCCAGGAGGGCCTCAAAGGGCCCCAATAGGACTCCCACGAAGGCCCAGAGACGCCAAGAGCGATCGGTAACGCAAAAAGCTCTTCACACCAAGGCTCCCAAGAGCGAACGGTGACGTACACAAGCTGATAAGACCAAGGCTCCCAGCAGAGAGCGGTGACGTAACAAGTTCCTGACACCAAGGCCCAGCCAAGGCTCAGGAACGGGCGGCAACGCAACCATCTCTGAACACCAAGGCTCCCAAGAGCGAGGGGTGACGTAACCAGCTCTCAACGCCCAGGCTCCCGGCACGAACGGTGGTATGAGTCATTTCGGTTTCTGTTGCTGCAGCGCTCTTTCCGTTTCTGTGCCGGGCCAGGTAACGGAAAGAGCGAGGTACGAGCGACGACGTTGTGTTGGGGCGAAGCCCTAGAGGGAGGGGTTCAGGGGAGGGGCGAGGCCCGGGGACATTGGCGTTAATGGCCGTTTTGGGGGTTTTCCTTCGGGTTTTTGCATGCTTTTCGGATTTCTCTTCTTTTCCGTCCCAGAGGAGCCCAATACCGCCCAAGACAGCCCCAAGACGTCCCAAGACGTCCCAAGAGGCCCCCTAAGACGCCCCAAGAGGCGCCCAAGGGGCGTTCCAAGATGGCCCCAAGAGGCCAAAATCATAGATTTTCCAAAGGAAAACGTACATTTTCAGCATGTACGGCTTTTCGCCTTTCACGGCGTCGACGACGGCCCAGGAGGCCCCCAAGACCGCCCCAAGACGGCCCAAGAGGCTCCCAAGAGGCCCCCCAAATGGCCCAAGAGGGCCCCTAGACGGCCCAAGAGGCGCCCAAGACGGCTCAAGAGGGCCCCAAGACGGCCCCAAGAGGGGGACCACGAACGCGAAAGTCTAGCCTTTCGCCCCAAGACGCTCCAGGGAGGCCCCCACAGCCCCCCAATGAAGCCCCAAGAGGCCCTCAGGACGCGTCCCACGAGGCCATCAGGAGGCCCAAAACATCGATGTTGTGTGGGAAAACGTGCATGTTGAGCATACACGGCTTTTCGGCTTTCACGGCGTTGAAGACGGTCCAAGAGGCCCCCAAGACCGCCCCAAGACGGCCCAAGAGGCTCCCAAGAGGTCCCTAGAAAGGCCCAAGAGGGCGCCAAGACGGCCCAAGAGGCGCCCAAGACGGCCCAAGAGGGCCCCAAGAGGGCCCCAAGACGGCCCCAAGAGGGGGACCACGAACGCGAAAGTCTAGCCTTTCGCCCCGAGACGCTCCTAGGATGCCCCCAAAGACCCCCAAGAAGCCCCAAGAGGCCCCCAGGAGGCCCCCAGGAGGCCTCCAGGAGGGCCTCAAAGGGCCCCAATAGGACTCCCACGACGGCCCAGAGACGCCAAGAGCGATCGGTAACGCAAAAAGCTCTTCACACCAAGGCTCCCAAGAGCGAACGGTGACGTACACAAGCTGATAAGACCAAGGCTCCCAGCAGAGAGCGGTGACGTAACAAGTTCCTGACACCAAGGCCCAGCCAAGGCTCAGGAACGGGCGGCAACGCAACCATCTCTGAACACCAAGGCTCCCAAGAGCGAGGGGTGATGTAACCAGCTCTCAACGCCCAGGCTCCCGGCACGAACGGTGGTGTGAGTCATTTTCGGTTTTGCCTGCAGCCATTGGGGCAGGAGGAGTGCGACTACTTCGTCGAGAAGGCCGAGGCCTACGCGGCGAGAGAGGGGTGGGACGCGGACGCCCGCCCGCCCGCCAGCGCCGCCGGGGCCTAGACATGGAGGAGGAGGAGGAGGAGGAGGAGGAGGAGGAGGAGGAGGAGGAGGAGGAGGAGGAGGAGGAGGAGGAGGAGGAGGAGGAGGAGGAGGAGGAGGAGGAGGAGGAGGAGGAGGAGGAAGCCCATTTGGCCTCTGGCGATCTGGGCCTGCGACCCGATCGATCGGTCAGGTTCGATCGGCGCCTGCCGCCCGATCGATCCCGCCTCGCAGGCCGATCGCGAGGCCGGGCTCAGCGCGCCGCGGATCGGCGATTCGCCGCCGCCGCTGCCGCGCCCTGGCCTCTGGCGGCTGCCGCGCGCCTTCGGCGCGCCCTGGAGAGGCCCGACGCCCCAGGAGCCCGCCTGGCACAGGCGGCAGAGAGAACGCCGAGCCTCGGCACGGGCTCTTCTCCGAGTCGTGAAGGCGGCCGACCTCCTCAGCGGCCACCACTCCGCGCAGCAGCACCAGCGCCCCCAGCAGAACGAGCTGCAGGACCACGAGACCAGCGCTATGGCAGCCAACGCAAAGTCTCACGGTCATCCAGTGGGTGCCAAGCCGTGGCCATGGAGGTCAAGCACACCAGCATCTGGCTCTTCACACCGCCGACACCACGGAGGGCAAGGACAGCAGCAGCCACGGTACCAGCCCCAGCACAACCAGCACCACCACACCTCCCACCACGACGAAGACCGACAGCAGCACAACTACGCCCAGCACCAGCAGCAGTATCAGTACGACTACACCACACCGAGAACGAAGCGGCCTCCCTCGAGAAGACGCCGCCAGGCCCCCGAGGACACCACCAACGACCACCAACATCTGCAAAAGCTGACGAAACGACAGTTGGAGGTCACTGATAAGGTAATGCCCGCCCTGCTTTCGGATGCCAAGGGACACGAAAGTTTTTCTCTCCCTCCCGACGAGCCAGACATACGTCGGGTCTGGCACGCGACCAAGGTGGCGAGGATGGCACGTCTCGCCGACCAAGTCCTCGGAGCCAGGCAAGCTCAAGTTGACCCAACCCGCCTGATCGAGGAGATAGCCATAGTCAAGACCATGCTACACCTGCTGGACACGCCGATGGCTCGCATTGCTCAATATAGATCTCAAGTGGAGTCACGGATCCAGAGACAGCAGATCGTCGAGAGCCAGATTCACGACCTCAATAAGGAGCACGACGAGATCAAGTACGAGATCGCATCCCTCAAGGCACTCATCTCCGAGGCCAAACAGCATCGAGGACATGCTGAACTCTCGGAAGACAGTTGTGACGGGGACGGTGAAGATGACGTGCGCCACCGTGTCAGGGGCAAGACACCACACCCCGAGAGACGACAGCGACCACCAGCTCATCAACCTGTGTCTGAGCCAGCGCCGGCTTCGACTACCAACGACGACAGCGACCTGCGGAAACTCATTGACGTGCTGACGAGGAGAGTGGATGAGCAGCAGCGCAACCACGGGATACACCAACACCATCTGGCGTTTCTCCACCATGAACGTGCCGAATCCGATCAACACGAAGCACAGCGTCAACTGCAGACCGAGCAGATTCAGGAGCTTTCGCAACATCTACAACACTGTCAGGAACAATTTCAGCAAGCACAATTCCAGCAGAGACAGTCGTACTACGACGAGATCCAAGTCTTCCGACAGCGCGAGGAGCGGCTCCGACACGAGGCTCGCGAATCCATCACGGAGAACATGGCTCACTACCAGCAGAAGGAGGCCAACCTGCGCGACCAGCTCAAGGAGGAAGAGTCAGCGCACCTCGCCACCTTCATCATCCAGAGGAAGCAAGAGGAAGAGACCTTCCGACACCAGCTACACGAGAACGCCGAGATCATGGTCCAACAATATCAACAACGCTGCCACGAACAACAGCAACGTCTTCTCTCCGAGAAAGCTCAGGCTCAGCAGGACATCAGCAACATCGCGAGGCTTGAACAGAACCGGCTTCAGGATGCCAAGGAGCTACTTTTGGAGGAGTTCGGACAGGTCCAGGCTCAGAAGTACCGCACTTTGACGGCCCAGAGCGAGTACAACAGCGAGATCGACAGGCTTCGAGGCACTTCCCGTGACATGCAGCGCTTCGAGAACGAACTCCAGGAGCAGCACCAACTCCAACTACAGGAGCACCTTCAGCAACACAGACAGGAGCGCGAGCGACTGCACTGCGAACTACAGCAAGCCCACGAGTTCGGCACCAGCATCGACGTGGACATCCTCAGGGAGCTCGACACACGACTCCAAGAACGAGACGAGGAAGACGCACGACTGCAAGCCCAAGCAGACGCTGAACAAGCACAAGTCGACAAACAGATTCAAGCGGCACTCGAACTGCTGACCCCACCGTCTACCTCCGATGACTCGGGCTATCAACTCTACCTCAGAAACCGCGGCAGCAGCAGCGGTGGACAGCCCAGCAACAGCGGACAGCGCAGCAGCACACCACCACCACGACCGACACCTGCGACGCCAACCGCCACTCCTACTGCGCGACGCCCATGCCACGACGCCGACGACGCCAGCGTGCACACTCCAATCCCAGCCGACGACGACGACCTTTGCAGCCCAACCCCTGTTGCGAGCGACGCATATCCCTTCCCTGTCCCTACGCCATTACCCACCCCCGCCTCCAATGCGCCGATCCCCACCGAGCAACCTACGCCCATCGACTTCCACCCACCCGACCCGCAGAATGACCGACCCAGCTCAGCGCCACCACCACGCACCAGAAGGACAGACTCAACTCAGCACAACCACCCATCCACTACTCTCCTCATTGACATCACTTCCGACGACGACGCACCGCCACCTTCCACCCCAGTGCGCATTCCACTAGCCGACATATCTCCTACCGCACCGATGCAGCCAATCCAACCACCACCCCGCTTCCACCTCGCCACGCCCGACCGCGCCACCTCTGCTCCTCCGCCCCGCACCGCTCTCCGAAAAAACGGATCATCTAGACGAGCGGCCAAGCCCAAGAAAGTCCGTATCTGCGACATCGGAGACGGCTTCGCAGACCCAGGAGACCGAGTGCCAACCTTCCTCAACGACGAGGAAGCCCCTGCGGTCAACTCACCAAAAAACTAACGGGGCCCTCACCCCCTGGGGGGCAACTGGCCCAGGGGGAACGGCCCAGCATCATACCAGAAGACTGTCAGCGCAACGACGGCACTTCCGACTCCTGCAGTGGTTACGCCGACGACGTCAGGCGCCGACTATTTGAGCCCCTGGTGAGCTCCGATTCACCACGCGACACTTCACAAGTTTCACCTACCCTCTCATCAGCCAATAGCGGCATGCGCGTTGGGGAGAGCGCACCTCCAGATCTTTACGAGCATGGCGACATGTGGGAAATCCACACACCGCCCAACATGCTACAGCCTAGTAGTGGACCGTGGACCATCCCCTCGGCCTCTACCTCTCGCTTGGGGAGCGCGAGAAGGCTGTCTCACACAGATCCCACACTAGAACCACATACGCTAGCGGACCGACCAACTACCGCCACCCAACCTCGACGGCAGCATGTCGACTCACATCCTCCACCAGCGGAAGCCCAGTCACGGTCGTTCCCGACGATGACGACGCCACCGCCTACGCCTCGAGAGGAAGCATCGCTTTGTGAGTACGACACGGGGGGGGGTGCGGCCGTCTGTGGCAAGAACGACCAGAGCCACCAACAAGGCATCGACGTACTAGCCATTTTGGCCAAGATGGCGATCGAGACCGACAATTTTGCGACTCACCGAGCCGGCCATGTACATCAACTTCCTGCCGGCCACAACCTCCCATTTTTGACTCCCTTGACGCTACCCAGATCCTACACGGACAGACCGACCTGCCGAATGCGGAGAGCCACGAGGCAGTACGGCATGTTCGTTTCTCCCGCGAGGTTCATACCCGCGACCAGCAGACCGACAATATCCTCTACCACATCGACTTCGACGAACAGGAGCCCTTACTCCAGCACCTTCGACGACTTCAGGCTCCCAGGCTCACCTTCGACTTTACCGACCGTTGCCACAACGAGGTTTCAGATTACATGGTGCGAACATTTCCATACCGACAGCTCCCACGAGATTCTCGCCTGTATTTATACACCGACGGCTCCAAACACCCACGCCAACATGGTCAAGACGGATGGTCAGTTGTACTCGTCGGAGAAGACGAAGAAGGTTTCTCTTTTCAAGGTGCAATAGTCGGCAAGCACCGCGACTCCACCCTCGTAGAGATCCAAAACCTCACGGACAACGAGACCACCTCGACATCCAGCGAGATCACAGCGCTCATCTGGGCGCTCGCCTACATTATCCACAAGGACATCAACCACAGCATCTCGGTCCACTCCGACTCGCTGGGAGCGATCCAACTGGCAAGGATGGAGGCTTTTACTAACCGAGACGCCCACCTCGTGCAGCTACTGGTGATCATGTATTCGCACGTCAAGGAATATGTTGACCTGCGTCACGTTCACGCCCACGAGATGAACCCGTGGAACGAAGTTGCCGACGCCGCGGCCAACTACGCCCGCATCGAGGACTACCCGCACCCACAACCTGAATGGGCTAACATACTCAACGCGTCCCCTCAGCGCAGCTGGGAATTCCTACTCGACGCCGACAACCACACCAAGGACGCTTACCCATCCTTTTCACCTGGGATGCTCAAGGCCCAACGCATCGATACCACGGCAACGACAGCCCACCTTTCGACACCAGCCAAGTCCACGAAGACCTCGACCGACATAGACGTCAACATCGCCACCTACAACATCCAGTCAGGGCGCGAACCTGGCCACGGCGCTCGACGACGCAAAGAAAAGATCCACAAGCTCAGAAAGACTATGCTCAACCTGTACATGGAGGACCTCCACCTGATCGGCATCCAGGAAGCCCGCACGCCATGGGGAGTTCGCAGCGGCAACGACATCACCAGCACGAGTGCGTACGCCTACCACGTCATCTCAGGGGGCC